CGTTGAGGTCCTTTTCAACTCCAGGCCATTCTGTGATTCTGTGAGAGGTTTGAATACAGTGTTGGTGTACAGTGAGCTTTCATCTTAGACAGACAAATAGTTTTATTGGTTAGATCTGGGACAATGACACCATTGCTTTCACTACCTACTAGGCCACAGGAGCAACGATGGATCATATCACCACATACAACCACATGTGCCACAGCAATATTGTCACATTTCTGCTAATAAAAAATTCAAAGTTTGTGACCATCCAACCAATTCCTAACCCACCGAATGGCCCACTTCTCAAACCTGCATCTCCCCAGTGCAGAGATCAGGACGTGTTGGGGGACCACGCCAAAGGCTTTGCAGGAGCCCAGGTAGGCGACATCCGTTCAGCTCCTGACAGGGACGCACGGCCCATTCCTGGGAAGCTCTACAGAGGAAAACGAGTATCTCTAGCACCAGCCTGCCTGAGATTGATGCTTAATAACTGCTGCCTGGATTCCGGCGGCTTAGAGGAACGGTTTTAATCACAGACCGAGAGACCACCGACATCCGAGCCGCGACCCTATAGGTAAGGACGCCGTACCGCCCTCTCCTCCCCGAGGCCCAGCCCTCGACAAACCTCGCATGCGCGCCGCCGCCTCGGCCATTGCGGTGCCCGGGGTTGGGATCGCGGCCACGTGACCTCCCTCATGGCCGTGGAGGGCGCGGCGGGGAGCGAGCCCGCGCCGAGGGGCAGCAGCAGCGTCGGGGGCGCGCCCGCGCCCGTCGGCAGTGGCAACGGCAGCGTCGGGAGCGCTCCCTCGGCCAGCGGCAGCGGCAGAAGCGCGCCCGCGCCCGTCGGCAGCGGCGTCAGGAGCCCGGCCCCCGCCCGCTCTTTCATCTGCTCGTTCCCCGGCTGCGATGCCGCCTTCAACAAGGGCTGGCGGCTGGACGCGCACCTCTGCCGCCACACGGGCGCGGTGAGCGGGGCAGGGCCGCGTGCCGGCCGGGGGCGGACCGGGAGCTGCGGCCGCCGCCGCTGAGCCGCAGCGTCTTTTTCAGAGGCCGTACGTCTGCCAGTACGAGGGCTGCGGCAAGAGCTTCACCAGGGACTTCCACCGCGCCCGGCACTCCCTCACGCACTCCGGGGAAAGGCCCTTCGAGTAAGGCCCGGCCTCGGCCGTCTGCGGCGTTGCCCTGGTGGGAGCGGGCAGGGCCGCCCCTGCGGTGTGCGATTCGTGACGGGGGGCGTCGGCCGCCATCTGGGGCGGCAGCAAAGCCGTACGCTTTGCTGAAGCTCCCCCTTACGTGGCTTCCGGCGGCTTTCGATAGGGACTTTCCCGCTGGCTTTTCATGTCTTTAAAAAGACTGTTTGCGTTGTGAGCGCGGCTGTCTTGGTCGTCCTCTTGCCCGGTGATGGGGGTACGTGCTTTGTGTGCGGTGAGAAAAGTTGCTTTGTTTGCAGGTGCACAGCTGAGGGATGCAATCAGAAGTTTGGAACAAAATCAAACTTAAAGAAACACGTTCAACGCAAGCATGAAAATCAGCAGAAACTCTATTCGGTGAGTGATGACCTTTGGCGCTACAGAGTGAGGCTAAACAAGCTCCTCTTGTGGTACCTAAGGACATACCTGGGCTCGTTATGCAGAATTTGCATGAGTTCGTGTGACTGGGATATCAGCCAGCATGGGTGGACTGGGCTGTCATCGTTTGGCCTGATAATAACTTGATTTCCTAAACAGTGCAACTTTGAAGGCTGTGGCAAGTCCTTCAGGAAACATCAGCAACTGAAAGTTCACCTGTGTCAGCACACCAATGAACCGCCCTTCAAGTAGGTAGATAATTTTGCTGATGAACTTCAACAATTTAAACACTACAGTTGAAAACACGTGCCTTCTCTCAACCTTTTCATTGATGGGGCATTTAAAACCTGAAAATAAACTTGCAGGAATACTGTCATGGTTGCCAGTACACTTCTTTAGCTAGTGAACAGCAGTCATAGTGCACTGTAATTTCAGCTCTCTGGGCACTTTTCCTAGTATTTATTACAGGTTCGTGGAAAAATTAAACAAACAAACATTGAAGGTGTCTGAAACACGAGTGTAAATGCTTGCATGGCTGCTCTAGCTGCTAGAATTGTACAAGTCACCTGAAGCTTCCACCTTCTGTGTATTTGGACGGCTCTCTATGTAGGGAGGGAGATGAAGTTTGATTCTTCAGCTAAAATTTAACTTGCTGTAATGAGAAGCGTTATGGAATTGACTTATACAAGGGATGAAGCAGAACAAATCTCTGGGCAAGGGAAGTCTGGGTTATTTTGCCCTCTTTAATTGTTTGTGACTTGAAGAAAAACTATGCAGGTGCGATAAGTTAAACCAGTGTAATTTTACCTAGATGTAATCACGAAGGATGTGGGAAGAATTTTTCTACTCCAAATAGTCTGAAGCGGCACAAGAAGATACATGAAGGTAACACAGTTTTTCTTTTTGCTTCAGTTGTGTTTTGGCAAAGGAAAAGGGAATCTTTCCCATGTGGATGATGGAAGTGTTCTGTGCCCAGTGATTCAGACAGGCAAAGCCAGAGTACCATTCTGAGTTGCCATTTGGGTTACAGTTTCAGGACATTGCATCATTCAGGTTACAATGTATTTATTTCTGGCCAGCTAAACCCAGCTCAGTTCCCCTAGAAGTCATTTTTGACTTCTAAAGCGCTTCCTTGTCAATAATCTATCTTATGGAGAGAAGATCAGCTAATGGTTAAGGCTGTAGCCTAGATGTCCACAAGTGAAGATTAATTGCCAGTTCTGCTGCACGTTTCTTATGTAACGTTGGCAAAAACCATGGAAGCATTTTTACTGTTCTCACGTCAAAGGTATTTAAGTAGAATTGTCAGTAGGTGGTCATGTGGGTGTTTGAGCTTATTCTGCTACACTGCTATCCATTCTTTTAGTATTCTTTGACAGCTAACTTTGTTTTTGTTATGAACTAACACTGGAAAGCAAGGAAATCTGCGACTAGAAAGAGTATCCCAAAAGCTGTGACTCATATTGTGGTCTTTTCTTAAGACTTGCTTACAGTTCTTTGGTCTTTTCAGTCTTGGTATTTAAATAGCATTAAGTCTCTGTGATTCATTTAAAAGTCATCTTGTCTGCTTGATAAAATGGTAGTGTCTTTAGGCTTGGGAACATTACTTTATAGTCAAGTTCCTGGAATACAAATATTTAGACAGAAATACATTATTATGGTTATATATTTGACTGAAAGTGTATGGTTAGTGGGATATATGTTTTACTTAAGACAGAGGGAGGTAGAGTTCCATAAAGCCATTTAGCTTGGAAAGGAGGTCATCTGGTTTAAATCTGCTTCATTAGACCAAGCTGCTCAGGGCTGCATGCAGTCATGTACTGAATGTCTCCAGGGGCAAGGATTTCACAGCCTCTCAGGACAGCTCATGTCAGTGATAAAAAGGTTTCTTCATAAAACCCATTAGGAGTTTCTCATCTTCTAACTTGTGTCTATTGCCTTTTGTCCTACCTAGTATGGGGAGGAAGATGAGGAATACTTACCTCTAATTTTCAAACACTGAAAATGGAGTTCACCCTTGTAAAATTAGACTGTTTGCCAGAGTGTTTGTGACTGCAATCATCTGTTGTCCCTAACAGGCTATGCGTGCAAGCAAGAAAACTGCTCGTATATTGGAAAAACTTGGACTGAGCTTCTGAAACATAATAAAGAAAGCCATGCAGGTAAGCTTCATATGCATTAGCAAGCAACAAGAAACAAAATGCATATGTGAAGAGTAGGCCTTGCTGAACTCACTTTGTCATTGTGCCTAAACCAACTGTTTACTAGCACTTAATGGCAAAATAGTTGTCACTTTTGACTGATGAAAACGTTAGTATACTAACTTTGATTTGTGACTCAATTAATGAATAATTGCATAATGTAGGATTTGGGATCTGGATAATTCACATTCTTTTCTAGTCTCTGTGTTCCCTACCATTCATGTGAGTTTTCACTGTCTTCTAGAGGACTGCTAGGGTTTAACTCTGAGCTCCTGGCAAGCTGTTAACTCATACTCTGCTTCTCTTTCCTTCCCCGACTCAGAGCCAATTGTTTGTACAGAGTGTTCTAAAACTTTTAAACGCAAAGATTACCTGAAGCAGCATAAAAAAATACATGCTGCAGAGAGGGAAGTCTGCCGCTGCCCACGAGAAGGATGTGACAGAACTTACACAACTCTGTTCAACCTTCAAAGCCATATCCTCTCTTTTCACGAGGAGCTGAAACCATTCTCTTGTGATCATCCTGGCTGTGGAAAAGTATTTGCAATGAAGGTATGTATTTTCACACTGTCCTACCCTGAACTGCATAATCTGAAATAACAACATTCTTTTCTTTTTTCTAACTGTAGCAGAGCCTAGCAAGGCACGCAGTTCACCACGATCCTGAAAAGAAAAAGCTAAAAGTAAGTCATACTCTTAAAGTCCTCCTCTGTGAGTCGACAAAATGCAGTTGAGAGGGTTAGTATTAAGTGTTTTAGAATGTGGAAATGTAGGAAAGCAAGCCAGCTATCTACTTAATTTGGGAGATTTTTGTTATCTGAAGGTCTTGTAAATAACATGCTGGCCTTTTCCCTATTTTTTTTCTGCACCTCCACTGTTATGCTGTACACACGTACAGTCACTAATGCTGTTCTTACTTCTGCCAGGCAAAGCGTTCTCGCCCTAAGAGGAGCTTAGCCTCTCGTCTGAGTGGGTACATTCCCCCTAAAACACAGCCAGGAAAAGATGTGGCTGTGACAGAATGCACGACAGCAGATCCGCCCATGGAAAACGGAATCCCAACTGTTGAAATTCTGACTCTGCAGTAAAAGTTACCTGCACATTTTCTTCATGAAATGACCACTGTAATGTCCAGCAAAAAACCTTTATTTTATAGTCCTTTTTGTAATAGTATTGTTTGTACCTCCTCATAAAGTCATTCATGCAGCTCGCTTGACTTTGGCTCTTCATTTTCATCTTTCTTTACCATACTGTTTTTCTGTTTTTCCATCTTCTGGTATGCTTTCAACTCTTTGTCAGACATGTGTCTCAGAATGCACATACTTGTTCCTTCCTTAATGGCTTTAGGCTTGGAAAGATAAGTGGCTTTGTCAGATATAGCCTCCAAAATCTGATCAAAAAGCGTGAACTGAAAAGAGGCAAAAATAGGATAAAATGCACAACAATGGTTAGAAAAATATTTCAGGCTGTTTTACTAGTTTTGGTTTGAACACTTCAGCTTGTCTTTTCCCAACCACTTATTCATTATTCATTAAAGGAGGTTTAGGAAAGTCATCAGGATTATGCCATTTCCTAATATTTAGGCTAAATTACTAATTCATCCTGTTTTGGTTTAAAACAAACAAAAAAACCCCCAAACTCCCCCCCCTCCCCTTTATGTACATGACAAGATGTGAAGCCCTAAAATCTTTATAGATATTTACTTTGCCACTTTTGAAACAATTCCAGTAGCTTTCTACAGTAGTGTCTTCAGAAGAACAGGTAAGTTATTTAAGTTATCCAACTGAAACACAAAAATATTTCATAAACATTACTGCAAATTATCTCAGCTGGCTTAAGGTACAGATGGGACAATTTTACGGGACAATTTTACAGCCCACTTAATAAGCTGATGCTACAAAGAAGCCCACTATTCTGCCTGCATTCTTAATAGAGCATAGTACTTGAATTGTCTCTATGGGACTGGGTGAAGCGACAGCTAACTTCATGGGACACAGGCATTCACATCACAACCAAGTGATGCATTAAAATCAGAAGACAGAACGGTATGGGAGAAGTAAACACAAATACAGCTATTTCATGAAACGGACTGTCCACTTACCGTGTCTGTACTGCTGTCTCTTCCCTGTCGGATAGTCACTTTAACATGGTATTTCTTTTCAATCCAGTGTGTTATCTGTTTAGTCTTGGTCTCCAAGTCATTCTTGGCAATAGCTGAAGAGAAGGATAACTCCTTCTGAACCAGCACTGTTTAAAACAGAGCTAAGATTGTGTTAGCATAGCATGAGAGAAACTATCTATCTGCTCTCTTTCAGCAGCCTCCAGTGCTTTGCTTAACTCCCTTTCTCCCATGCTGCTTTCTCATACACAGAGTATCCCAGCCTCACTGTGTCAGCACATACCACTCTCACCTTAGAAGGGGTAATTGGTATTTCAGTCACGGCCCTAAAGGGGAGATAGACTGTGTGCGTAGAGCACGCACGGAAGTCTCTTCAGGTTCAGAATGCTTAAAGTATTTCTGTTTTCACTGCAGTTTTGTTCATACCACCCCCAACGCAGGTCTAACAAAGATAAATAGGCAAGCATTGGATGTGGACTTGAGACTTAGTGTGGAAACTCCTACATCTTGCACATAATGTAGCTGAATGTGAAAGCTTTAAAAATACATATCTATTCATCTCAAGCCTGTTTTCTTGCACAGTAAAATATCCAGCTGGAAGTACAGTACAATTATGCTCCCTTCCTCCATAAGAATTCTCTCAATTAGTTAGCACGTGCATGATCTTTTTGTAGTCTCTGGAACAGAAAAACTCCCTACCACAGTGTGCTCTCTAAAATGGGCACTCTGCCCAGAGCACAGATACCTTCCTCAGCCTGAGATCAACAAACAAGGTCAGATGTCTTCTAAAATATCCTTGCCAAACTCAATTTGTTCAACTGCTTGAGCAGATTGACTTAAAAAAAAAAAAAAAAAAAAAAAAAAGCCTGCTTCCTCTCTAAAAGAAAGGGCTCCAGACTTTTTCCTCCTAGCAGCAGGCTATGAAGAGAAAGTTTCACAACCATGGTTCGTGATCACTGGAGGCAAGTTTGTGTATGTGGTACACAGAGTTGTAAAAAGTGTCTGTCATTTATGCCTTAGTAGAAGAGAAATCCAGTGAGCCTTACAGAACCAGAGTCTAGCTGTATTAACTTAAATAAAAATAGCTTAAAAAAAAAAAAAGCCAGCAGATGCCGAAGTAGTAAATCCTGAGAAGGCAATAGTAGGCTTCTGTGGAGAAGCCTAAACTAATCCAAAATTTTATTTTCACCAGTGCAAATCCCTAATAGCATGGACTGCAGTGACGTTGCAGGATTTACACAAATGCAAGTAAGAGGATTTTATCTGCTGAAACCACTTTTAATACAGCATTTTTCGAAGTGCTCAGTGTTGTAACATTAACAATGTATGTACCTGTTTTTGGACTTGCTTTTTCTTTCTCTGCACGTTTCAGCTTCTCCTCATGAATCTGTTGCCCAGTCATCAGTCTGTACACAGGAGGTTCTGCGTTCTCACGAAGCAGAACCAGTTTCAGGTTATGTTCATCCATCAGTCTGAGTGCCTCTGCTCGGTGCATATCTCCTAAGCTCTCTCCATCCTGGTTGATTACGTGCAAAATCCGATACGGAATTCTTCGCCCAACGCTTCCAAATGCTGCTTTCCTTTTAGGATCTTTGTGAGATTTTTCAGCTGTACAAAATGGCTGAGCAAATACAAGCACATTTGTCTTTCTAGGGTCAGGTACCACCATCCAGAATGGAGGGAAAACTCCCTTTTGTGTTGTCCGTGACAGGAAAGTACCACAGAATCGTTTTGCATATCCAGTCTCACTTCTGGTTGTTTGGCATAAAAGTTTCATCACACAAAAGGAAGTCATTCTGAGGAACAGGAAGAATAAGAAAACAAGTTACCTCCAACTGTCAGATTCTTCTAGTTAGCATTATCAGAAAGGCCAACTCTGGTTCAGTAAGCCCCGATCCTTAAAACCACTCTTTGGAAAAGATGCAGTGTTACTCTACAAAACGAGCAACCAACAGGAGCTTTCCAGTAACAAAGAGGGCTTTAATCCAGAGAGAAAATCTTACAATGAAAGAAAATGTATTGAGTTGACATTATCTTCAATATCTTAATATTTGAGCCTGAATCCCTTTAGAGACTCCAAAACTTCCAGCTCATTTCTCCTTGTATCTACTCTAACACAGCTGTGCAGTGATTAGCCAGTGGTTAAAAGGGAGGAAGCGCTGTCAAATAAAAAGACATGTCTCACTTTTACAGCTGTATACTTTCAGTGCAGGGTTTTTGTTTTTTTTTCATGAAATACACAACACTGGGACTTCTTTCAGCACCTTTGGGAAGCATTTTATTTAAGCCTTGTTGCTTCAGATCTGCCTCAGTCACTCAGTGAATGAAATGGTGATCCATGCAACGCCCATCAACAGCCGCCCCAACATCTGCCAAGTTTCATAAGCTTTAACCATACAGTACAAGATTACCATGCACAATATTCACCATGGTGTGGGACAAAGCAAACACTACCATACTTGACAGTATGTTTTATTGCAGCACTGAAAACTCTTCCTAGGATACATGCAACTTGCTTCTCATTAAGCTAACCCCAAATTGTGTCTTTTTCTCAGACAAGTTTTCCAGTGATCATTTCATGCAAGTAGTCCAGATGGTTACTTGATTTTATATGGATGAAGCACCAGCATTATTTCTATAACCTAAAAGCAAAAAGGGCTTCCTGTCTCTAAACTTGAATTCCACATTCAGCCATGGCCCAAAGTTGAAACAATACCTTAATTATACGCCTATTTTATCAGGCATTTTAAGTGCTTATTGCCTCTTTCAGTTTTACACAAACATTAAATTTAGGTTGGCATAATTACAATGAGCTGAGCAGGTTTTTTTTTGCAGTTGTCAAAACTAGTAAAATTTCTTACATACAGCTATACTCCTATGCAGCATGAATTGTTTGGAAAGCACAGTTTATGGTAGGCATTCCACCAGACCATCTGGTAAAAATCATGATCATTAGATTTTTTTCTCAAATACCAATAAAAGCGTGCAGAAAAAAGGCAAAAAATAAAGGCACCGGTAAGGGTTTTCTGCAATACAAGGAATGGAAAACATGCAGTGCCTGGCCATTCCTCTCATTTTGTTACAGACTTCAGAAATCATCTGTTGTTTTTTTTTAACAGCTGCAAAAACATCAGTATAAAGAGTGCACCCTCACTAAGTTTGCAGATGATACCAAGCTGTATGGTATGGCGTGGTCAACACATCGAGGGACAGGATGTCATCCAGAGATACCTCAAGCACTGGGCTCAGGATAATCTCCTGAGGTGCAATAAATCCAAGTGCAACATCTTTCGCACCTGGACTGTGGCAACTTCTGCCATCAGTACAAGCTGGTGGATGTAGGAATGGAGCACAGCCCTGACAAAAAGGACTTGAAGGTACCAGTGGATAGGAAGCGGGACACGAGCAGCAATGTGCCCTCGGAGCCCAGAAAGCCAACCGTGTCCTGGGCTGCATCCAAAGCAGTGTGGCCAGCAGGGCAAGGGAGTGATCCTGCCCCTCTGCTCTGTGCTGTGAAGCCTCACCTGGAGTACTGCATCCTGATGTAGAGTCCTCAGTACAGGAGAGCCATGGAGCTGTTGGAGTGCATCCAGAGAAGGGCCACAGAAATGACCCAAGGGATGAAACACATCCCTGTGAGGGCAGGCTGAGAGAGATGGGGCTGTTCAGCCTGGAGAAGGCTCCGGGAGCGGCCTTTTGATATATAAGGGAGGGCTGTAAGAAAGGAGACAGACTCTTTAGCAGAGTGTGTTGTGATAAGACAAGAGGGAACGGCTTCAAATGAAAAGAGGGAAGATTTAGATTGGTTATAAGGAAAAAGTTATTTACAATCAGGGTGGTGAGGCAGTGGCACAGGTTGCCCCGAGGTGGTGGCTGCCCTGTGCCTGGAGACACTCCAGGTCAGGCTGGATGAAGCTGTGGACAACGTGATCTAGCTGTAGGTGCCCCCATCCACTGCAGGGGGTTGGTGCAGATGACCTTGATAAGTCTCCTCCAACTCAAATGATTCTGTGTGACCGTATGGCCCACCCAGCCCCCCCCAACTCAGGCTGCCCAGGTCCCCATCCAACCTCACCTTGAGCACCTCCAGGGATGGGACACCCACAGCCTCACCGCCCTCTGAGTGAAAAGATTTCCCCTTGGAACCTGACCTAAACCTCTCCTCCTTCAGCCTAAAGCCACTCCCCCTCGTGCTGTCACCGCAAGCCCCTTGGGGCACAGAACACCAAAACCGCATTTATCTCAGCGGAACCCGGCTCCGAAGGAACACATCGTCCGACCCGCCCCGAGCCCGCAGCGCCCCGCGGGCCGCCCTTACCTGCCCCGGCCGGCCGGGAGGGTGGAGCCAGGCCTCCCTTCCCCTTCCTCTTCCTCCCCTTCTCTTTCCTCTTCCTCCTCCTCCCCCTCCCGGCCCCACGAGGGCTGCGCACGCACCCGGCTCGCCGTGCGGCGTTGTTGGTCTCCTTGGTGCCCGCGCCGTGCTGGGCGGTGTTACAAAACAGTGCTCGCATTCCCGCTCCCCGTTTCAAGCTGGTTAGCAAAGCCGCTTAGTTTTCTTTCGTGCCAAATCAAGGCCTGTTCTTCCAGTCCGTGCACCAGCACGTAGATAATCCAGAGCATTTAAAAGCAGCAGGGATGGCGGCAGGAGGTTGCTTGTCCTCAGAATCACAGAGCCATAGGGGTTGGAAGGGAGCTCTGGAGATCACCTACTGTGACCCCTGCTAAAGAGGGTTCCCTGCTGTAGGTTGCACGGGAAAGTGACTGCATGGGTTTTGAGTATCTCCAGAGGAGATAGCCACTGCCACTTCACTTCTGTCTTTTTGATACGGTTTTAAGTTGAGGGAGGGAAGGTTTAGGCTGGATGTCAGGGGGAAGTTCTTTATTATGAGAGGGGTGAGGTGCTGGAACAGGCTGCCCAGAGAGGTTGTGGATGCCCCGTCCCTGGAGGTGCTCAAGGCCAGGTTGGAGGGGGCCCTGGGCAGCCTGGACTGGTATTAAATGGGGAGGTTGGGGGCTGGCAGGGGGGTTGGAGCTTCATGATCCTTGAGGTCCCTTCCAAGCCAAGGCATTCTGTGATATTTATAAGCATTAATAAGATCCCCCTCAGTCTTCTCCAGGCTGAACAGTGCCAGGTCTCTCAGCCTTTCCTCACACGGGAAATGCTCTGAGGCACTGTTGCTTTCTGCAGCAATTCCCTGAGCAGCAGTGACCTGGGGGTGTGGGCATTACCTACATGGTCAGGATGCTACTGCAAAGCTTCCTCCATGTTCTTAGCCCAATTCTGGGGGTCTACAGGTTCAGTTGTCCCTGAGGAGGTGTGTGCTGGTTCTGGTTGCTCTGTTGGGCTGGATCTGTGCTTATAGTTGGCAGAGAGCAAAGATGCTGCTGTGAACTGGGGTGACACAGTTCTCCCTTACTCCTGAACTGGAGCTCTGATTCCCAACATCTAGTGCAAAACTTTTCAAGTGCCAAGCAGTTATTGATACTGTTGGGCTAATGCAACACCTGGAACTCTTGGCCTAAGACCTTGGCCAAAGACCTTTCCTGATGGATGAGAAGCTGGACATGAGCCAGTATGTGCCTGCAGCCCGGAAGGCCAACTATATCCTGGGCAGCATTAAGAAAGGGGTGGCCAGCAGGAAGAGATTGTCCCCTTCTACTCAGCTCTTGTAAGGCCCCATGTGCAGTACTGTGTCCAGGTCTGGGGCCCCCGCACACTAAAGACACAGAGCTGTTGGAATGGGTCCAGAGGAGGGCTACCAAGATGGTCAGAGGGCTTTCCTATGAGGAAAGATTGAAGGAGCTGGGCTTGTTTAGCTTGGAAAAGAGAAGACTCTGAGGAGACCTCATTGTGGCCTTCCAGTACTTGAAGGGAGCATATAAACAGGAGGGGGAATGGCTGTTTCCAAGGGCAGATAGTGATAGGACAAAGGGGAACTGTTTTAAACTGAGACAGGGGAGGTTTAAGTCAGATATTAGGAGGAAGTTTTTCACCCAGAGGGTGGTGATGCAGTGGAACAGGTTGCCCAAGGAGGCTGTGGATGCCCCATCCCTGGAGGCATTCAAGGCCAGGCTGGATGTGGCTCTGGGCAGCCTGGTCTGGTGGTTGGTGACCCTGCACATAGCAGGGGGTTGGAACTAGATGATTTTTGAGTTCCTTTTTAACCCAGGCCTTCTACGATTCTATGAAGACTTTATCACATAACTCAGATAAAAACTCCCTTGTGCTGAGCTGAGCATTGCCACATGCTGCAGAACACACTGGAGTTAATTCATGCTTAAAGGATACAGATATTCTGGGTGAGCCACAGGTACATGCTCCTTGTTCTGCAGTAGCTCACTTACTCTCTTTGCATCTCCAGCTTTTGAAAGCTGCTTAATACACACACTTCTCTATTTTCACTCTAACAAGGCAGCAAAAATTAAAAGTAACCCCAGAAATTCTGTTGGGTGGTAAGAATGGCCACTGCTAGCAGAGCCCTGCACAGAATGTAATAGCCAAAGAGCCACAGTTTTGTTTGGTTCCAAAAGTCTGCCTCTACTCTGTGAATTAAAACAATTCTTTTGAAGATGCATGCCGTCATTAAATTGCTTAGTCTGATTTAAAGAATCCAGGCAAGGAACTGATTTTGCTCCCAGAAAAGCGAGGCTGGCTGAATTTATAAAAATGGTAATCATAAAGCCAGCCTGTAGGTCCCTGTGGCGAGGCACAATTAAAGTTAAAACTTCCCAGTGCTGTAAGTTTTTAAAATGCCTCGTTTTACGTCTTGACTGTAGGGAGAGGAGTTTCCACTGTACATCTAAGACATTGTTCAACAGCCTTTGCAAGTTGCTGGGTTCAGCTGCGAAGATTTTAAAAGCTGCTTTTGTTGGCAGCCTAGGACACATCCGTGACCTTATTAAAGTGGAAGTGAAAGCTCTCCCTTTTTTTTTTTTTTTTTTTTTTTTTTGCAACAGTAAATCTACTAATTTTACAGTCAGTTGAACAGCAATAGATTAATTTGTTTAAAGTCTGCATTCACAAAGAAAACGTGAACTTCGCTGCCTTGAATACCCGAAACTACAGTGCGATATTTAAAGGGTAGAAACTATTACAACTTGCCCTCGAATGATCCAGGCAGTTCCCTGTCACCTGCTTCTCAGCACAGGTGCTGACCTCCCCGTCTATTCTATCCCTCCTGACAGCCTAGCAGTGAGGCTGCCTCTTTGTGTGCAACAGAGAGCGCTTTTCCAAGCGCTGGGCCAGTTTTCTTCAGCAACCACAGGAAGCAGAATAAAGAAGAGGTTAAGGGCCAGCGCCAGGGTCAGAATGGGTTAAATTTAGTTAACATCAGAGGTTATAGCTTTTAACAAGAGCATGAAGGAAACTTATTCGAAGATGCAATTTGTTTCTTCTTTGTCAACCATTATTTTTTTTTTACCCTATTGATAGTGACAGCTTAACAAAGTTTTTATATGCCGGGGTTTTCATCCTTTAGAGGATAAAGAACCGTGATGCAAAAAAGAGATGCAGGTGGAAGACTTTATAAAGCCTCCATGATTTTCAAATTGAGGGTTGAAAGTAGGCTCCCTGCGTGGCTAAGTCAGAAATAATTTGTAAATGTTAAAAAAATGCATGTTATGGACAGAGGAGCTGGGTTTTTTGGTTTGGTTTGGTTTTTACCTTCAGACTTTCTTGCCAATAGCAGTGCTTTATGGAACACATTACAACCAGACTGATTTTGTATGTATTTTTTTCCCAAGGTGATCTATTTATTTTTTTTTAATCTCACTCTAGTGATGATCAAAGTGAAATGCCCCTGACAACAGCCTCGATAATCAAGACTTTTTAGTGCACAGCACATCGTGCTGTTTCTTTGGTTGGTTGTTTTTTTTTTCCCCAATTCAGTAAATGAGAGTAAGCTACAGAATGCACTTGGTGGGTAGCTCTGCTGGAAAGCCTTCGCTCCGCTTCTTGGAATGCAAAGGGGAGGAAAGTTTGAATCTTTCTGAAAACTACTCAGCAAAAATGAAAACAAAGAATACATTCAGGAGGATTTTCCTCGTTTCTGCACAATAGCTTATCTTCTGCCAATCAATCTTCAAAATTAATTTGTAAGATAACTATGGTTTACTATTGCTTTATCCTGGTACAAAGTAAAGAACTGAGACCTGAAAACAGTTTAATTAACTCTGATAAGAACTCAGAAGTGCAAACTATGACCTTTTAAAATGTATTTTTTTCTTTTTTTTCTTTTTAATGTGTTTTCCTAAAGGAAAAAAAAAATAAGCTTATAGGATTGTTGTGCCTACATATCTATCTGTCTTACTACAGGTTTGCTTAATACAGCTTTCATCTCTTAGACACTTCTGCCCAGTTTGGTGAAGAGATGGTGGCCCCCAAAGCTCCAGTATGCTCGTAATTGCGGTAAATACACATCTCTAAAAAAAGAAATTGTGATAATTGGTATTTAAACAAAGGAAAGAGCCTCAAATTAATGTCTTGTTCTGGCAAGAGATTTCATCTGGCTGACCAGGCAGTATGTGTATGGGTTGCCTTGCTATCCCACACGACTTCACAGAGTCATCGAATGGTTGTGGCTGGGGGGGCACAAACTCAGATTTGCTCTGGGTTCTTGGCTGTATGCTGAAAGCTGACTGCTCTCTAGCAGGGTGGATTTGTCCTCTGAGATGCATGTAATCACTTGGACAGTTCTGGGGTTATTCTTTCTGAAGTCAGTGTGACCTTTGTCAGTGTAGA